CCCAGTCGACGGCGCTTACTCCCACCTCCGCTGGTGGAGTAAGAGCATCAATTCGGGGATCGATTGTCGCGTCCCGATGAGACGCGATAATTCGATCCCCGGGAGATCGATTTCTACCCGCTGATTCAGGCGGGTAGTGTAGACCTAGCCTCAGAAACTATTGATCAGACCCACCGCAGCCTAGAAACACAGTTCAAATCATACATCCATTATAGGGCAGGAAGGATGGGGTAACAGGCAGCAATGGCAGCAGAATGGCTGCTGTATGCCCTGAAGGCTTCACATACAGAAATAAAGGGAGGATAGTGTGAAAGACCATCAATTCTTTCCCTCCCTCAACCTAGCCAATGACAGGATCTCCATGTGTATTCTGAGTGGGAAGGCCCTGATCAGTCAAGCTTGCCCCTCCCTTGACCCCTTCTCTCAGGACTCCAGGGTTTGCCTTTCCCCTGTTGGTTCTATCGGACATATACCCCCTGTTGTGATGGGGTGGCATTTATTCTTGAGGATCAAGTAGTCAAAAGTATTACTTTAGGACACTATCTCAAACTTTGGTGCATGAATTGACTAGATTGCCTAGGTAGGCCGTGGAAGCTCCTTTGCTGGAGGGTTTCAAAAGGAGGCTGGATTGCCATCTGTCTTGGATGGTTTAGACACAACAAATCCTGCATCTTGGCAGAGGGTTAGACTAGATGACCCTTGTATTTCCTTCTGACCTTCTGATTCTATGATTCTAATTCCTAGCCCATACCAAAGTTTCAGTGGTGGCAGGGAAGAGAATGACATCAGGGATTCTATAATATAGCAAGTGGAATGCTTTTATAATTAGCTCTATAGGACATAAGAACATAAAAACAGCCATACTGGGTCAGACCAATGCTCCATCTAGCTCAGTATATTGTCTTCCGACAGTGGCCAATGCCAGGTGCTTCAGATGGAATGAATAGAACATGCAATTATTGTGTGATCCATCCCCGTCATCCACTCCCAGGTTTTGGCAGTCAGAGATTAGGGATACCCAGAACATGGGGTTGCATCCTTGGCCATCTTGGCTAATAACCATTGATGGACCTATCCTCCATGAACTTATCTAATTCTTTTTTGACCCCTGTTATAGTTTTGGCCTTCACACCATCCCCGGGTAATAAGTTCCACAGGTTGACTGTGTGTTGTGTGAATAAGTACTTCCTTTTGTTTGTTTTAAACCTGCTGCCTATTAATTTAATTGAGTGACCCCTGGTTCTTGTGTTATGTGGAGGAGTAAATAACATTTCCTTATTCACTTTCTCCACATCATTCATGATTTTATAGACCTATCATATCTCCTCTTAGTTGTCTCTTTTCTAAGCTGAAAAGGCCCAGTCTTTTTAATCAATACCCTTAAGTTCTCATTTGTGATAGAGAATGGCCCTCTATCAGAACAACCTCTAGTTATTTCACATTTTCCATAGATGTGGGTGAGTAAAAAACATAAAGATGCTCAACTGAAAGAAAACAAATTTGTTGAGTTTATTTCTGATGATTCACTGATGGTAATGTTAAGTTAGTCTAGTGTTTCTGCTTGAGTAATAAGAACTCCTTCTGCAAGAGGAAAAACAGAACAGTCCTTTTAGTTGTTTTATAAATATTTGCTTTGCTGTTATCACTATGCTAGCGATTAAGGGTCTTTTATAAAATCATCTCTTCCACAATTCAGCATTCAATTCCTGAGCAGTCATTGGATGCAAATTTATATCTAATAAATTCCTTAATATCACATTAACATCTGTGAAAGTAGATTGTCAGTGAAATAGTTAGGATTTATTTTGGTTGCATTTAGCAACTGAATTGTAGTAAAGAAAATATCTAAAATATGCATTGACTATAGATAGATACAAAAACTATTAAATCCAAAACATTTAAAATCTTCTTTATAACCATTTTGACCATTACTGGTCATGCTTTTAAATATTTCTGATTCATGTGATACATCTCTAGTACACAGATTCTTGCATAAGATGGCTCACATAAATTATGTCAGTAGCACTCTGGAAAATGTCTCTCACAGAGACTGAGGAACACATGGTGAAGGGCTTTTGGAAGTTCACTGTCTGGACTGGCGAGACAGGTATGCCATAACATGTTTTAGATCTCTCCTTACATGACTCTTCAGGACACTGTACTATGGTGGCTACAACTCTATTCTCATATTCTCAATTATATGCCACACAGCACAGAATAAAGAATTAAGATCTCATGTAGGACCAATGTTAAATCTCCTTTTCCCCACATGGAAGAAAATTGAAAATTAGTAAAGGAAATTGATGGTCCTACACTGCTGGCTGTTTTCTCAGTTCTTTACATGACTACAAAACTTTGTTATGGTGTCTGATATCATATCTCCATTATTCTTAAGCCAAGCATTTGGTACTGCCATGGGTCAGCATTTACACTGACTGCCAGTTATTTTTAGCGATTGGGCAATAGTCCCCACCATTGTCAGCTATACGGGGAAGGTCCTTTATCTCCTGGAATAGCCTGCAGTGAAGGATTTTATTACTATTGGAATACTATTTCCTCTTTGCCAGGGGATGATATTGTGAAGGCCAAAACTATAACAGGATTCAAAAAAGAACTAAATACGTTCATGGAGAATAGGTGTTCATCAAGGGTTATTAACCAGGATGATTTCAATTGGCTTTGCCTGGGACCTAAAAACTGAAATGATTAACTTTGAAGTGCACTTGCTGAACATTAGGCAGCAAGTTCTGCTCATGGACTCTCATTGGTGAAGAATCTTGTGCATACTGTGCAGTAGCTACAACCTAAAGAGTGCATTGCAGTAATTTAGCTGAGAGGTCACAAAAGCCTGAGTTCTGGTCTTAGTCCAGAAATAAGATTGCAACTTCTGAATATTTTGAGGGTTAAAAAAGTACTCCTGACAACTGATGAAACATTGGTTTCCATATTCAGTTTGTTGTGGCCTCTAAGTTGGGAGTCCTGTCAGCTCACTCGGGAAAACCATATCAAAAGCTAGCAGTACCCTGGCCCCAAAGTGACAGCTTCAAATGCTCTCCTTGTCATGAAAGCAATATCTCCTCCATCTGTAGCTTGACCTGCAACCTGAGCCCGACAATGCAACTGTGCTGAGACTGAATAACTGTGATAAGAAGAGGTAGCAATGCATATTTGGGTATCATGAGTTACTGCTAATAGCTCAGGCTATGGTGCTGCCATATCAGTTTTCAATGTTACTTTATCTTTACATTGAACGCAATAGTGACACAAGAAATCTGTGTGGGATCCCATACTGGAGGGTTCTCGATGCAGATGAGTAACATTACCCAATGATGTTCAAAAGAAATAAATGGAATCACAGTAATGAAATCCTGGTCATTTCCTCCTGTCCATACAGTTGGGTCAACCGCAACTCATAATCAATAGTATCAAAAACAGATGACAGCTCCTATGTTATCTGGATGGAGAGTTGTCTCGCATCCATCTTGCATACTAGTATTGTTTGTGCCCTTCTAGGACCGGACAGATGGGATGATGCCAAAGAATTCTATTCTAGATACTTGTCATCTACAATCTTCTCAGCCACCTCCATAAAAGGGAGGGCTAAGCCTAGGAGGTAAATAAGTAAGACCTCTGTGTTAAGAAACAGTTTCTTAAGCAGCAGTCAAACTTCGGTTTATGTCAGACAATCTGTTCTCCACAAAGACATTTATAACAGAAACTACCAGTGGGAGAACACTTAACCATTGGCATTTATATTGTGGGCAAAGATCCCAGCCATAGGTTATGGATTTCAGCTTCCCAAAGTCCCTTTTCATGTGTTTGGGGTAAGATGCTGTCATGGTAATGGGTGTATTTGTACTCTTGTATCCTGTCACTGTCTCCCTCTATCTAGTGCAAAAGGGACAATCTTCAGTATGACTGATTTTCCTGACAAAGAACTTAGATAATTGCTCATATCACTCAACTGATAAGTCAGATTTAGGGGAGACGCAGTCTGAAATTAATAACTTCACCATCCTATGACCTTATCAAATGCATATTGTTCACCCTAGAGTCTTTCAAGCAAAAACCAATGTAGACGTTTACATCTTTTTAAAACCGGGATTGTGTATGTACTTTTCAAAAATTGAATGACAACAAATCCACTCTTCCTGTTAAACATATGTTCATAATTTTGTTTTGTCTCTGTTTAAAATGGACAGTATTTTTCTAGTAGATTGAAGCATAGGCCTGAATACAGTTCTGTGTATATAAGGACTTTTTTCTGTGTACATCATGCATTCTGAAACTTGATCCTTCAAAGACTTTTGCACATGTTTAACTTTATGCACATTGAATAGTTCCACCGAGTTCAGAAAATTCAACGTAAGCTCCCTAGTCCTTCATGTCCCCATTTGTAAAGTGGAAATAATATTTATCAGCTTCAGAATGTGCTGTGAGGAAAAATAAGTTACAGTTTGTAAAGTGTGTTGAAGATGGAAAAAGCATCATGGTGCTTAAGAGCTGAGTATTATTATTTAAAACAGGATTTATAATAGACTGACAGATTCCTTAATAATATATCCTTGAAAAGATGGAGTCAATTATGCAGTCATTAATAACTGTTTTTTAAATGGACTACTTTCTACACATCTGGGTAAGGTGGGCAGAATTTAGCCCCTATTGTTTAAAATTTCGTATGTATTTTATGTCTCTCAAAACGCAATGACTTTCACTCAGCCTAACCATTTAAAAAGTTCAGCAAACAAGTTTCTGAAATGCTAGTGGTGGACGCAGTCTGACACACTGAAGGATGAGCTAAACATGTAACTTATGTGTACTGCTTATTTGTTGACAGGCCAGTTAAAATTTTTATATTACCTTTCATTCATGACCTAAATATATTTATGGCATATATTTCTGCTGTTATGTGTATCAGATAACACTAGTTTTGAAATATAAACTCATTGGAGTTACTGAGTTACATCAGAATGATAAAACTGTACTCTTCTGTGTTTCAGGTCTTAGGAACAGATGAAGATAATATGGGGGATGGTTGCTCTCAGAAGCTGGCTTCTGCCAAATACGTTCGACTTTTGCTAATACTGATTCCATGCATCTGTGCTCTCATCCTCCTACTGGTGTTCCTGCTTACCTTTGTAGGTGAGTACTAGTCTTAACTAAAGAGAAGCAAGCTGAAATATACTTGTATTTTTAACAAGATGATACAAATAAGCACTATAAACTCACAGTCCAGTCTACTTTTAGAATGTAAACAAATGTCTTAGAACATCCACTTAAAACTGTAAGTAAATTATGCTTTTTTTCAGTTCTGCTATGCTGCTTCAGTTGCAGAGAATACCTGATTTTGATTGTTTATGTTTAAAATTCATTAAAAAGTAATTAGGGGGAAATTTTTGAGGCTTTGAAAATTAATTTTTGATATACTTGCTGCCTTGGACATACATTATATTGATTGTTTTCAACAGTCACTCTTACAAGCACTTAATGATAAGTTTTTAAATATATTTATATATGTGTGTGTGTGTGTGTGTGTGTATGAAATAAATATATTTAAATATTTCTAAGTGGCACAACATATTGCTCCCTTACATAACACACACCAATTTATAAACCTAATATCTATTTTCAGGAGAAAGTTAATTTACGAGTAGCAATAAAACTTTCTGAACAGGCTACAAAATCTCCTCCCCGTCACCAATAAAATCTAAGTGTTTTGTTATTAACTTTAAATACACATAATTTCAGAACCACAATCATATTTCATTGAAGATAGAGTTGCAGCTATACTTAATTTTTTAGTTATTCAATCCATTAATTAACTGCATGTTTGGTATGGAATTAACAAATTAATGATTTATTAGTGAGCAACAATTTAAAAAAAGCTAGTTCTTTGTTACCTTCACAACAAAGTTGACATGCCTGCAATTAAATCGTACCTATGATGAGAGAGAGAGAGAGAGAAGAATGTTCGGATAACACATTATATAACTTTTTGCTTTTATTGTGTACAGTACTGTAGGGCTGTAGTTGCTTGTGTACTTTTGGGGTTTTTTTTTGCCAGTAAAGAATTTTTTTTTATTGAAATGTATTCAATATTAGCATAACTATATCTCTTATTTCAGTGCTGGCTGGTACTGCCTGCCTTTTTTACTTGAAGTATGTATCCATGAAACAGTGTTTTACTTCTCTTAGGGAGACTAAAGAATGTGCATTTTTTACCAGTTGCAGAAAGATGGTAAAATATACAAAATTATTAGCTCTTTCCCTATTAAAAAGATCAATCAATCTAAAGAAATACCATAAAATTGAAACAGGATGTCTGGAAATAAAACTGAATATGTATCTAGCTAACAGCTCTGCCTCTGACAAATTCAAGTCAAATTGAATCTCCATATTCATTTCAGACTGTGGAGGATGATTTGCAACAAGACCCATAATGTCTGGTCTTCTCATTGTGCTTAGGATGGGTGGCCAGAATAAAAAACTAATGAATGTGGTGGTAGATCCCAAGACTTAGTTGTCAATCTTTAAACTAAGAACAGGCTGAAGTGGATTAAGATCATGTAAGTCTGACAATTAGGAAATCTGATACCTCCCAGTTCATTTCCTGGTGTTTAGCATTCCATCTGAATCCTTTATAGATTTTCACTATTAAATGAGAAAGTAGATGAAAAAAGGTAGGTGTGTTTGTGTGTCATACTCAATCTCTTCCTTAGAAGAAAGTGTCTACATAATACATACTGAAATTGTACTGCAAAATGCCCAGGCAAAGGGGGCCTGATTCTGATCTTACTTAAGCAGCATAAACCACTAAAATCAATGAAATTACACTAGTGTAAAACTAGTATATGTACGAGGAGAATCAGACCCAATGTTATTGGTCAGGTCTAATGTCTGGGACATCTATAAACCAGCAAAACTGTCTCCAGCATCCTTTCAGATTATTCTGATTATGATTTATTATTCTGTTTTCCTAGAGCAATAAGAACAGCTTTAGTTTAAAGCATACTGATGACACAAGTAGACTTATTTTCCAGGCTGTCTAGAAATAAATAGGTAATTCTAAGGGCATCCTTAAAGTGTGTGTGATGTCAGAATAATGTAATCTGCTCTGGCATTTGGGGAGAGGCTACATCCAGGTCATTAATTCAAATTCAGATCAGATCAGTTTCCAGTGCTGTCCATCTGGTATCTTTCACCAGTTCTAGATTTATGTTTTTTAAGGTATGAAAAAAAGCCTTTTTGTAATGAAAAGGACAAAATCTTTTAAAGCTTAATTTGTCTGTGCTCACATACTACACCTTGGTGCCCTAGAAAGAATAATAGATGCTTGAAGCATGAATGGAGAATTCCAGTGTGTTATTTGGAACTTTACATTCTATTGCTGAAATTAACTTTCTCTGCTTAACTTTGGTTACCTCATCCATTAGAAAATTGGGAACATTTTGGCTCCAGTTTGCAGGCAAAGCATTTCATTTCTTATTGAAAACTTGTAGTAAAATGTTCTATTACTGCTGCTATTTTCAATTATTTTCATAAGATGAGGCAGGTACACACACGTATGTGCACACATCGTGTTGAGCTGATATAAAATATTTCCATTCACCCTGCTAAATATACATGTATCAACCTTCTGACTTTCTCCTTATCCTAATGCAGACTTCTGGATAGGCTGCTCTCATCTTCCTAGTTCTGATGTAAAATAAGTCTGGAATCCAGTATGAGGCAACTGGGGCAGTACAGCTATATTCTAGTAATATGAGGTATCCTACTTGAGATACTTTAACGAGCTGATTTTCAGAAAATGCTGAGCATTCACTCCCTGAAAATCAGGCCCCTCTAAGGTGTCTAAAGTACGGTACCCCAAATCACTAGTCACCCTTGAAAAACTGGGCTGTGAAATTTTATTAATCTGTACGCAGAGAAGAAAAGGCAATGTAAATAATGAATAAGGAGGTGCAAATTAATATGACTATCTGGCAAAATTATGTTAAAGTAGATATAACAGCAGGCTTTTAAACTCAATACACAAAAGTCATGCTTAGTTTAAAATCTCACTGCAGAAATAAGGAATATATTTCTCTCAAAGCTTTTGCATTCTTTTATATGCGTATGCTTCTTGTTGGTTGTTCTTCTATCCCGGGCCGGTGCTTCCATTTAGGCGACCTAGGCGGTCGCCTAGGGCACCAGGATTTGGGGGGGCGGCATTTTGCCGCAGTTGGCGGCAATTCAGCGGCAGGGGGTCCTTCCGCGTTCTGGGTCTTCAGCGGCAATTCTGCGGCGGGTCCTTCACTCGCTCCGGGACCCGCCGCCGAAGTGCCCCGAAGACCAGGAGCGCGGAAGGACCCCCCCGCCACAGAATTGCCGACGACGACCGGGAGCGCGGAAGGACCCCCGCCTAGGGCGCCAAAAACCCTGGCGCCGCTCCTGCTTCTATCCCTTACTTGCCAGAAATAATGGCACATTTGTGAACCTATCAGGAGGATGCTTTGTAGCGAATGTTCTTCTCATATGAAGTGGAAGCAGTGATGTCAGCTGCTATTGAGAAAATTTGTCTTTCAGAACAAACCTGAGGCTCCTACTTACTAAGTGACTGGGTCATATCACAGAGGAGAGAAAGAGAGTGGGGATTGAGAATCCTTTTTAAGGGCCGTAAGCTGGTTTATGGGCCACCTAAATAATTAAACTTTGAAAGAAACAAAGGGTTGGATTTTACAAGGTTCTAATCTCTTACAACTCCCCTTGATATTGATGGGCATTGAGAATAACCAGCACCTGATGACATTGGACCCTAATTTCTTGCTCTCCTGACTGAAGCATAGTTGTGAGCTAGCTGTTAGAGGGAGTGCAGAGGTTCATAAAATGATCCATTAAGGCCACTTCATACAGTTTAAATTTGTCTGGAGTTACAAGCTACAAAGAAATCATATTATGGTGCATCATAGCCTACATAGTCTGCTGATATGTAATGGGGGAAAAGAGGCAGAAAGGGAAGACATTCTGAAAATTTGGATGTCATAAAAATGAGAAATGAAATGAATGGGCTCAATTTAGAACAGCTCTCTGATTTCTGTGTGGCAGGTGGCAATCTCTAAACTAACTCTTGTTTAATAGTTATAAAAGGCACGTCCCCTTTTTTAATTTGATTTTTTTTATTTTTTGTTAGGACATTACAGATTTTACTTACAATTGTGCATACATTTTAAAATATGGTATGTGTTAAACTTGCAGGGTTGTCTTCCTTTTAAAGAAAAGCAGCAGTCGATAGAAATACAACAAGTTAAAGTAGATTTCATTTGGATTATTTTCAAGAAAAACAAATAACTGATGCCATGGTTTGAATAGCTCCTTAGAAAAGGTTAACTATAAAGTAAGAAGACCATCTTGAATGTAAGCTTGCATTTATAATCTATGGGCCATGTTCTACAACCATTACTCACATTGAGTGCTACCTTATTTCTTGAGTAATTGCATCCTATGCAAATATTACCAGCTTTAAAAATAAACCTATTCCTACAAAGACTACAAAACATCAGTCACCACTATTTTCGGTTTGAGAAGTTAAGTATCCTTCACTTTTGAATACTAATTTTTAAAACAACATTGAGTCACTTCTGAATTAAATAAAAAAAGATTTTCGATGGGGCACAATAACACTAAGTCACAGCTGCTTAGCCATAGCAAACTCTTGTAGGGAAAACAAAACTATTTGATATTCATTGGACCATAATTGAAAGTCAGTCAGTTATTTAAAAGGACCAAGAAATAGGATCTGGGGGATTTTGTGTAGATACAGGATTTTACTTCTTATATACTGATTTCTATGTGGTCCTCTACCATAAGGGAATCCTGAGTAGGAGGAGAGGGGTTATTTTACCTCTTTGTTTGGCACTATTGCGACTGCTGCTGGAATACGGTGTCCAGTTCTGGTGGTCACAATTCAAGAAGGGTGTTGATAAATTGGAGAGGGTTCAGAGAAGAGCCACAAGAATGATTAAAGGATTAGAAAACATGCCTTACAGTGATAGAATCAAGGAGCTCAATCTATTTAGCTTAACAAAGAGAAGGTAAAGGGATGACTTGATTACAGACTAAGTATGTACATGGGGAACAAATATTGAATAATGGGTTCTTCAATC